AGGTCGTTCCTGTTGACAATTGTGCGTTTGCTTCCGCATTATCTCTGCATATTACTTGTTCTCGTGTTCCTTCGTTAGAGGCTTCCTCGAAAACGTCATCTTCCGATGGATCTTTTAATTCTATCGTGTCGTTATCACAATCGTGTCCCGTTTCTTCTTGCGATTGTAGTTCCGAGTTCTCCTTTACAATGTAATTTATCGTGTCTTCTATCTCTTTTTGTTTTGTAGTTTCGACTTTCTGTTTCTCTCGAAAAACTACATCTCTACTTACAGTAATTTTCCGCGTCTTAACATCAATAAGTCTATAGCCTTTTGTATGTTCCTCGTATCCAACAAATGTGAGCTCATTTGCCTTAGGATCCCATTTGTCACGTCTCTCTCGTGGAATGTGTACCCAGGCTCTGCATCCGAAAACTCGAAGATGTTCTACGTTTGGCGGTTTTCCTGTCCAGAATTCTTCTGCTGTTTTATCTCTCAGAATACTCTCAGGACTTCTATTCAGTAAATATACTGCCGTCGCTGTCGCTTCCGCCCAATACTCCTTTGGAAGACTTGCATCTATTAACAGACATCTCGCGCGCTCTACAATGCTACGATTTGCTCGTTCTGCTAACCCGTTCTGCTGTGGATTATAAGGTACAGTAGTTTGATGTGCAATACCATATTTATGCAATACAATCTTAAATTCTTTACTAATATATTCACGCGCATTGTCCGTTTTTAACGCTTTAATTCTTTTTTCGGTTTGTGTTTCCGCGAATGTCTTAAATTTAATAAATGCTTCAAATGCCTCACTTTTGTGTTTAATAAAATATACAAACTTTTTTCTGCTATAGTCGTCTATAAATGTAATAAAATATTTTGCTCCGCCTATTGAATCTCGCAACATCGGACCGCAAATATCTGAATGAACTAAATCTAATAAATTTTTAGCTCGCTTACCACTAGACGGGAAGGGTTTCTTACTAATTTTCCCTTGTACGCATACATCGCACGCTTCTTCGTTTCTATCGAAGTCTCTCATTTGGTCTCCATGGTCCTTGGCTAAACGCTCCATTCCACGTTTTCCAGGATGACCCAATCTTCGGTGCCAGATGCTTCCTCGTCTTGTTTCTTCCACCGTAGCGTAAACCCGTTCTGACATCAGATTTAGCTTATAGACGCCCCCGTACGTACTCGCTGTAGCTAACAAGTTTCCATTTGAGTCTGCGATCGAACAACCAAACTTTGTTATCTTAATTCGATGATTCTTTGTCGCTATCTTCTGCGCTGATAACAGGTTGGCTGCTAAGCCCGGTATGTATAGAACGTCATCGATTCTGATTCGCTGCTTCCTTCCTTTGTCCAGCGTTGTGATCTCTGCAGTTCCGATCGCTTCTGCTCTCATCTCGCCATGATTTGCCGCAGTTACTTTCTTGTCGCACTTCTTTGCCTCCTTCAAACAGATTGCATTCCCTGTCATGTGCGATGACGCACACGAATCGAGATACCATTCGTTGATTTTGGTATTTTCTTGTCTAAACGTAGCAAATGCTTTATCGGTCGAATCTGTTTTATTTTCCGCATCCTTCTTTGGTTTGTAACGACACTTTGCAGCTAAGTGGCCTGGTTTGCCACATGTAAAGCACTTCCTCAGCTTATTTTTATCCTTTGCAGTTTTCTTCTCTGCTTTAACGTATAGTGCTGCTTCCGTCCCTTAATTGTTGTTGTTCAACCTTGCACTTAACTTCTTGCAATAGCTTCGTCCGCATCGAATCCGTTGTAATAGGTGTGCTGGAACTCTCTAGGCCCATTATCATTGGCCTATACTCCTCTGGTAATCCAGATAATAATAGCGCGCCTACCATCTCGTCCTTAACCTCAAAATCAAGCTCTTTCAGGCTATGTGCGGTAATCGTAATACGATTGACATACTCTTCTATAGATGCGCAATCCACTAACCTCGTTGACGTCAGGTTGCGCAAGAGACCCTTCCTCGTTAAGCCTTTATCCTCGAAGGCGTTTTTCAGACGGTTCCATGCTTCCTTCGGTGTGTCAGCGTCTTGTATGTGTCCATAGTTCTGCTTCTTTATGGATAATATAATTTTCGCTCGTGCCTTCGACATCTTTTTTGTATCATTGACGTACTCCGGCTTTTCTAGAACGCATCCCCACAGATCTTCCGCTTCCAGGCATGCTCGCATCGCAAACTTCCAGGACGAGTAATTTTCTCGGCCGACTAACTTTTCGATGTGTCCAAGACTATAGCTTCCCGAATCTTTTACGGACGTGGCCATCTTTCTTTGTCTTCCCACGCTCAAGATTTCGTGCCGTTTTTCGCGTTCGGGATTTCGTGTTTCTAACCTTCTTAGCTCAGCGCTCGTTACTTTCTCCACACGTGCTTTGCCACACGTACAAGCAATTTGATTAACTCGGTATTTGCCCTGGGCCCATAACCTGTTGTGAGCGGGGATGAAATAACGTACACACCAGATCCATTGAACAGAAGGAAGTGAATATCTATATTGTAATATGGAAACGAATAGGTAGGATACAGGATATATACGCACAGTACAACGTAAATCAAAGTATAGCGCCGGATTCAAATACAGACTTAAATGCATTCATACTCTAAAAATTATAAAACAATAAATCTACTACCACTAATATCCTTCTTCTCTCACTTTAATCCTTTGGACCAACGGCTTAACGTCTCTTTCCGAAAGACGGAGCCCAGTTTTCTCCGCACAAGAACCTATCTTGCACGGAGGGGCGCAGCTATCGGAAAAACATTCCATGCTTCATGACTCTAGTGGACTCGAACCTGGTTCCTCAGATTACGAGTCTGGCACTCTACCACTAGACCACACTGCCGTCCTAAGTTTCACATACATTTTGACATGATTATACATATATAAGTTTATATAATTTATATATAAAGTGTATATAATATATAAGAATTAAACATTTATCCATGTAGATTATATATGATTATATATAACCATGTATAAACTTGAATTCGGATTATCTGGATAGATGGCATCCGATAGGATTTATTTTTCGTATTTAAAATTTGACAAACAGTGGTATAAGAATGGTATCAAGAGACACGGCAGTATCTCACGCCAAGCAGCGCCAAGTTATATGTAAATCATTTCACTTTTGATTCTAGCTTTTGAAAAAATATACACTTAATTTATCAATGCTTTATTCCTTAATCGAAGTTAACAGAATTCTTTTTTAATATTTATTGATTATATATGATTATATATATTTAGATATATATAATCTCATTATATATGTACATATATGATTATATATGATTACATCTAATCCCCTTCCCAATAAATATTTTATATACAATAAAACGCAAAAAAGCCTAATTTTGTTATATATAATTATATGTGGTTATATATAATTATATACGATTATATCGAGCCATTTTTATATATAATTATATCTAATGTCGATTTTATATAAACATATATGATTATATCTGATCATTTTTTTTCGGGATTTTATTAAATATGTATCAACTATGTGTTTAATACATTTATACATTATATATATATGCGCAGTATACTTGCTATGTATTTCAATTTTAATATTGCATATCTGTTGCGTTAATTACGTATTTAACACGTTATATTTGATATAAAATAAAATGAAATGAAAATGCAATATTGTTACGTATTTAAGGTTTCTGGCCTTCTGGGTTCTTGTCGCGGCCATGTTGGAATGTGACGTCAGAAGCGAGAAATGACACGTTGAAAATTTTTGCATGGTATTTCCAAATAAAAAGATATTTGCTTAAAATAACACTACAAATCACTTCAGCACATTTCAAAAATACTCCGAGTTGCATCCCTTTCCCTTGACAGTTATTAAACATCCGTAAAACGAATGTGAAACGTTACAGGCTTATGTGCAGGCGCATAACTAGGTTGTGTATTACATTCATTTTACGGCTATTTATTAACTGTCAAGGGAAAGGGGTAGACCCAACCTGAACTCGGAGTATTTTCGAAGTGTGCTAAAGTGATCTGAAGTGTTATTTTATGCAAATACCTTTTTATTTGGAAATGCCATGCAAGAATTCTCAACGTGTCAAATTTCAACGTTTCTCACTTCTGACGTCACATCTCACGAGATGTCGCGTCGGGAAAGAGCCCAGGAGCCTTAATATATATTTGTAATGAAAAGTGCTGTGTGGCTTAATATCTTAAAGTGGGGTACTACAATTTTTCCAACCCTCTATTTTATTATTCTCAACCCTTTGAGGTATGTACGAACGAAAAGAAAGGTGGTACAAACCGAGCTTAATTTAATGCATATTTGAAAAAATTTGTTTCTTAATGTCGGATGCTAGGTTCACATAAGTAGTAAAAACAGTAGGTTCACTTTGAGGCGGCACCTTTGATCTAGAGGCTACACACTCGCCATGTTGTTAATTGTGCACAGGCCATAATTTGAATGACAACAGATGCTGGTTAAAATGTTTAATATGTCTAACATATTTAATATGTCTAATTGTCAAATATGATTTCAAGAGCTGTCACGAAAAGAATTAATAAAACATTTAATGCTATTCAAATACAATTTAATATAATTATTTATGAATTAATCTGGACGGTTATTAATAGTTAGCAAATTTAAAAGAAATATACGTAATGGAAATGTAAAATAATAAACATATGAATATATGAAAAAGCAAGAAAGATAATACACATATGAATATGAAAAAGCAAGAAAGAATTATAAGAAAATATAATGAGAATCAAATTATTTTTATAATATGTTATATATTTAAAAATTTATTATTTTTTGTTATATGTACAAAATTTTAAAAGAAACATCCGATGTGATGGAACTACAATACGTACAGCTTACAACTGCTGGGCTGCGGTTCAATTCGCGCTCACAGCGCTGAAAGCATCGCTCTATCTTCGTTTGGTATTCAATGATGCTTACAACGCTGTAAACTGTAAACATGAATCGGACCGCAGCAGTGAACAGCTGTTTAACAGCCGCCGTATTCTTGATTATGCAGTTCGGTCATGCACGAGAGACAACCGTTAGTACCATTTTCCACGGAGTGAACCTACTGTTTTTACTTATACTGTACCCTCAGTGAGCATAAAGAGCGAGCTCTATGCTGGTTCGCGGCGATGCATTGTGCAGGAAGTAGTACCGGGCGGTACGGCGAGACGGAAGCAGGTATCGTACACTTATCACTACGCGATCACATGAATCTGCGACAACACTTAACATAAAATAGCAACAATGTTTAACGCAATTACACTCACAAATATTTAACGCGAACGATGGATACGGGATACGGACGCCCACGCAAAATGCAAGACGCTATGCGGTACGCGAGCAGATACTCTCAACGTGAACAACGAGAACACACCACAACACTAATTCTCCGGCGACACGCGCACACCTTCTATAGAATGCAACACACGAACACCAGGCGCGAAACGTGAACGTTCCAGAAACGCAACGTTCCTAAAAAAACAATTACACACTTTCTGTCAGAAAGTTACACCCCTATCCTTAACTCATTCTGCATAAATATAGTATACACATATGCATACATATACACACATATAAATTATTATAATATGTATAATGTACATACATAATTTATTCATAAAAATATTTGTATACTTTAATATTTAATATAATGTAATTGTACGCATAATTTTGAAATATTATGTCATTTTATATTACAGAAAAATACAGAGTGTACGCGAGCGTATCGTTCGCAGTATTATTATTGGGGATTGGCGTACCTCTCTGGTGGCACACTACAACGGTGCCTCGTGTTACACTTCCTTATGCCGGAATTGATGAATTATCGCAACTGGACATTAGAATTACTACAAAGATTACTGTCGCGGCGCTCTCACACAATCGTGCCGAGTTGTTCGCACGTGAAATCAGGCGAACGTTTGTAAACGCTGGTAAGTGAGAACGGAATGTGAAGAATTTATAAGTGACAATTTATTGCTATGATATTGTATATTGCCTGAAAAGATTCTAATAACTTTAATGATTGATAAAAATGGTTCTCAAAATATTTTAAATGCTAAACTTCAAATCATTGTAAAAATCAATGTTGTTGCGACTTTTTCTTTCTCCGATGATGATAAAATCCATAAAATTTATACGGTGATTTTGTTCCATTTCAAATGTGAATTGCAGTCTGCCATATGATATGAAATGAAAATGTCAATTACTTCTTTCTTATTTTTGAGGGTTACAAGTACAAGATCATCTACATATGTATTTGTAATAAAAAAGTAGATATAACCCGATTTTATATAGTGCTTTATTTTCTATATCTTGTAAAATTATATCAGTTATGATTGATGATAGGGTGAGCATCCCATAGAAATGTCGAACATTTGATAAATTAATTGTGTCGTTAAAGGTGAAAAACGTTGACGAAAAAATGAATCTGACTGTTATTAAAAACTTGTTTACTGACATTTTTATGTGTTTCTTAATGTAAGATCATCTATTTTTAACCTATTTATTGCTAGTTCAATAACATTTGAGAAACAACGTCTAGCGACGATAGTCTTATTGCAACCTAAAAATCCTGCAATCATAGACGTATATAATAGACTGAACATTGGTGATTTGTAGGCAAGATCTAAAGGACAGAGATATTAGCCCAGTAAAATGACAAAATTTGGAGGAAATAATACTGACTGGGCTGAAACTTTGTAAACAGGCTTGTTTTAGGGTACTATTTAACATATTAAAAGTCCCCACAAGTAGACGCTACGTTGCGGGCAGGAGAGGGTCCAAAAGGTCTTAAAAAAAACAGTTTTTCGCAAATAACTCGGAAAATATCAACTTTACGGAAATTTATGTAGATATAAAAATTGTAGCTTACAAAATTTCGCACAATTTCGTTTTTTTATTCAAGTCTGTACGACCAAATGGAGCAGAGATAGAATTTTTTTAAACATTGGTAGTTTTGCGACGCAACGAAAACGCGTACGCGCGTCGCGCATTTTTTGCTAATATCTCGAAAATGGACTCTCAAATCTAAAAATGCTTAAAATAAAAGTTGTAGAGAATCAAATTACGAACAATTTCGTGTTTTATTCATTTCTGTACGGTCCAAATTCGCCGAGTTATTAATTAAAAGACAATTTTATTTTATGTTGATAGTGGATGTTTTGCATGTAAAAATCAGTATTGACGCCAAACTTTTCAAACTTGACTCTGCCCAAAAGTTTTGTCAGTACATCACTAATTTGCTCATTAGTACTAATATATTCAACTGATATTATATTATTGGACACTTTATCTCTAACAAAATGCATCTTAATGTCTACATGCTTCAATTTGTGGTGAAACTCAGGATTCTTACATACTTTGATCACAGACTGATTGTCTTCAAATATCTTTACCGTTATCATTTTTCCTTCTAAGTCAAAAAACAAATTTTTTATCAAACAAGCCTCACTTGTAGCTAAACTTAAAGCTACGTATTCTGATTCGGTCGATGACAAGGCGATAGTTGATTGCTTACGAGAAGTCCATGATACACTGCAATTGAAAACTTTAAATACATAACCACCTGTTGACTTGCAATCTACCCTGTCGCCTGTCCAATCAGCATCAACAAAACCGATTATTTTGTTAACATTACTTGCGTCACTCTTTCTAAAAACTAGGCTTAACTTAATGGTACCTTTAATATAGCGCAACACCCGCTTGAGCGCTGACCACAGATCCTCACTAGCACAAGATTGGTACCTACTCAAAATACTTATTGACAAACATAGGTCAGGTCGTGAACATAACATGGCATACATCAATGAGCCTATAGCCATTTTACATCTACTTTCAATTTTCTGACTCTCTGATTTATCTCTTTTAAGGGGATGCTGGAGCCGTCTGTTTTACCGGCATTTTTTGTCGGCACGTAGCGTCGTATTAATTTGACAGAATTAAAAATCCTTCTCCAGAATTGCAGTACATACATTAATGATTCGGGGGAACTCTGATTTTATATAGAAAACGAGAAAAAATTACGGAAGTACAGATTTCCTTATCCTACTTTTATCCCAATATGGCGTCTCGAGTTGCGGTGAGCTGTCAGCTCGTCACAAGATGTATTTCATATAAGAGATATACCATTGGTACGAACGCGAAAACAAGTTCCCCCGAATTGCACAACAAGAAAAACATCGATAAACCCTCCAAATCAAGATTTGGAAGCGTAATATAAAAGTATAATGTCGACGTGCATTGTGCGTATGTGTGCGTGCAATGTAGCGTGCTATCCTTGTCCATATCTTTGTCTATACAAGGACAGATATAGTTCGCCGGTCTTCTTTACCGACGCCGATCGAGTTCAGCTACGGCTCCAGCATCCCCTTAAGCACGCTATGATCAAAATTTTCTACCATTGGTGTAGAAATAGCTTTGCAGTCTTTCATGTTACATTTGACTAGCAGATTTTCTAAATATGCTGTCTGATTTATTATTATTTCCCCTTTTTCTAAATTTTGCGCTATAGACATGCCAAATATTGTCTAACTGCCCCCAAATCTTTTATTTTAAAATGGTTATTTAGTATCCTTTTAACATACTCTACATCTTTACTATCTTTCGAAGCTAACAGCTGATCATCAATATACAGCAACAAAAAAGTTTTATACTTTCCTTGTGTTCTTATGTAAAGACAATATTCATACTCTGATCTTATAAAACCTAATTTTAGCATCACCTCATGAAACTTTTCATTCCAACTTCTTGGTGAACCTTTCAACCCATACAAGGATTTGTTTAGCTTTAAAACATACTCTCTATCTTTTATAACATTTTCACATCCCTCTGGTAAAGAAATATATACATCCCCTTCTATTTCCCCATATAAAAAAGCACTACAAACATCTAACTGATGAATAGGGATGTCATATTCGTTGCAAAAAGCTAATATTAACATTCTAACAGATGATAACCTTGCTACAGGACTGTAAATATCTGAAAAGGATACGTTTGACTGCTGGAAGCCTCTAGCAACCAGCCTGGCCTTATTAGAAACTATATCTCCGTTTTCATTTCTTTTACGCCTAAACACCCACTTACAGTCTATAATATTTACTTTGTCTTTGGGTCTTTTTACACACTTCCATGTTTCGTTCTCTAACAACGCCTGTACCTCAGCCTCCATAGCCTTTTTCCATTTTTCTGCGTTTTCGCTCGACATTGCCTCGTCGTAGGTTTTGGGATCTTTCTCTGTAGCTAACAAACTTGTATAGAAGTCTTCAAAACGAGCTGGCATCTTCAAGTCGCTTTTCTGCCTCAGATTGTACCTCGTTTCTTCACTTCTTTCATGGATACTGATGTCAAGAGCCTCTTTAAAACTGCCGTCTGTGTCTTCATTACAACTTTGCTCCGTTTGCTCTTCTTCCTTATTTTGTCTGTTTTCATTTTCTTCAATCACATCTTGATCCTCGCTGTCTGTTTCCTGCTCACAAACTTGAATCTCAAACCTTTCTTTTTCTTGCTTTTCTTCATCTAGCTCTGCCATCTTCCGCGGTAGAAATATTACATCTCGGTGTACCTCTATTTTATTAATCTTCGGGAAGTAGATTCGGTATCCTTTTGTATCTTCTCCGTAGCCAGTTAGATAACCTTTGACATTTTAGGGTCCCATTTAAGGCGTTTTTCCTTTGGTAGATGCACAGACACCTGTGATCCGAAATCTCTAAACAACTCCAAGACTACGCTGCTCTTATGGTATACTTCATAAGGCGTTATTCCCTTCACTGGACTTGGACCTGTCCTGTTTATTGTGTACGCAGCTGTGTTCACGGCCTCCGCCCAAAACTTCTTATGCATTCCATCAATCATTGCAGGAGCAGCCTCCACTAATGTTCGCATCTCGCGCGATAAAGGAACGCCGACGCGAACCCCGAGAGTAGATTGCTAACGCTCGTAACTACGCGAAAAGTTCAAATACGCCTGTGACGACGCTTCGGATTTTGCCCGGGAATCAGCTGGACCGGTGAGGTTGCCCTCCACACCAATTGGTGTGTAAACAGCCAAGCGAAACTATCTACGACCGGATGCCGCGATATCCACGATCTCGCGACCCTGCGGTCGCGATCCCCAGGAGGCCGATCCTAGCAGCGCACGGAAGTGTCGTCGCGAGGCTCCCCATGCACGCCACCGACCGCCAACACTAAAGTCGAGAACTCACGAAACTCGGTCGCGAGTCGAAATTCCGCGAGACTCTAAATCGTCGCGCCCGACGATCTGCACCAATGTCAACCCGAAAATCGCTACATGTACGCGACATCCGAGGACGGCAGGTCGGAACGAGACGAAACGCGGCTTCACCGTGGCTGTTTACACACCAATTAGTGTGGAGGGCAACCTCACCGGTCCAGCTGATTCCCGGGCAAAATCCGAAGCGTCGTCACAGGCGCCGGGGATGATCTATTTGCTCGAAATCCGGATGCTCGATAATACGCGAGAACTTTCTCGATAGAATTCTAATTGCGAGACGTCTGTTCGAGTCGGCGGGCGAACCAGGAGAGATCGAGCGGTGATCCGCTCGATGTGGAATCGAAAGCGCGCCCCTTCCTGAGGGTTGCGCAGTAATCAAACGTAGTGTCGTGACCAATCGGGGCTGAGCGCGTCGCGGATTACGCGCGCGCTGTCGCAGGGATCCTGCGGTGGTCCTTTGCGCCCCCAGGCGTCCTTGGTGCCGTAGATTTTTCCGCCCGATGTTTAACGTGTTCGGGCTCGACTCCTCTCGTCCGAAGGTCTCCTCGCGAACCGAGAGAACGTTGGCCAGGCGTCCCGGGTCCGCTGGGATGTCCCGGGGTTGATTTGGAGGTAGTTCTCGCCTCCTCGGGGGAAAAAGGGCCTATCACGGCCCTGTCGGTCTCTCGTCGATCACCCGCGCCGTGCGTGTCCGCCCCGCGATCGGACTTCTCACTGGGTCTCGTGACATTCTCGCGCCGCTCCGTCCCTTGCCGTGGATCTCGTTCCCGTCGCCGGCGTCCGCAATCCTGGTCCCGAAGGGGGTGCCTCGGCGAGATGCCACATTTT